ATATACATATAATTAGCTAGCTACTAAATATTTTACACCTACGTAACAAAGCGTTAAAGCAAAAATATTCTTAGCAACCAACTGCGATTTACGATCTTATCATTATGTTGCCAACGTAATGGCAAGACATATCGACAAAGACTTTGTTTTAATCAGAAATTTTAAAATTAATCTCAACACTATTACAATGACATTGCAATAATATGTAGTAATAATAATATGTAGTAATAATATTGGCATTGAAGAAAGTTGTATTAATTTTGTTTTATTTTCATAAATGTTAGGGAATGTTATAAAAGAAAAACATTTATTATTTCAATTAGAAAATTAAAATTTATATTTTGCAATTGAACACATAATTCAATTTCCTAATATGTGAGGAATAATAATAATAATCCATACATTGTTTATAAGTTTTATTATAGAAGATCAAATAGAAACCTGTAAAAGAACAATTTTTATAATTGAAATAATAGGATTCTATTGAAGTAAATAATACTTTCGCAATATGATATATATAACTAAAAGCATTAAATAGTATTCTTGATATACATAATTCTACATATTTTATTTTATATGAAGATATACGAGCGTATCTGATAATGAATAAAGAATAGAAAATAAAGAATACTAATGAGATATTTTTAAAAAACTCTGTAAGAAATAAAAGCGATTTGTTCTCTTGGCCATTTTGTTCTCTTAATTGAAATGCGTTTAGTTTCCTTTGTGAAATCTTTTAAAAAACAAAATGTATTTTTGCTTTAGTGAAAAGATTTGAAATTAATTCGGAGTATAAAGGCAAATATGATTAAAAATAAAAGAAATTGACACGTTAGGGTAAACGCATTATAGATTAATACGTATACATATTCATTTATTTATTCGAATTTGGAAACAATATCATAAAGATTAATAAAAATGCGTGATATGCGTAATATGTGGAACAATTGGTTAATATGTGAAAATATTTGCAATTCTGATGGATTCTGACCTTATTTTGTACACTGCATCATTCGCTGGAATTTTTATCGGAGAATGACATAACAAAAGTATCCATTTTAATGGAACGATTTCATCGATATAGGACAAGATGATTACGTAGAATAGCTAGGGTGTGCCCGATATTCAGGATGCGATTGGTTCATTAGAGACGATCCTAAATGATAAATCGAACGAATCTAATCTCATCTCCGGAAATGAATACGGTCGTTTGGCTTGCTTTTATGGGATATTGGATGTTCTGTGATCAAGGAAAACAAACTACATAACGATCATCGTAACTATCGAACCAACTATGTCTATAATAAATAATATTCTTCAGAATTACGAAATTAATTATAAAACTTCTATAAAAATGTGTTTATAGAATAATCACTTATAATGATCAACATCTATCTGTAATAATTGATAAATAAAATATCGAGTATTTGAATAGATTCTTTGCTATTTTTTATTTTAATTTGGAAACATTATTTTAAATAATATAATATATTGAATATTATTTTAAATAAATAAAATGAGTGTATAATAAAAAAGAAGTTCGATTTGAGATTAGAGTTCATACAAAACTCATTGACAAAAATAATATTAATAATATTAACAGTCAAGTCGAATCAATACAAAGCATTTACGAATTTTGGTTAATCAAAATTCTCATACACAAAGCCAAAAGAAACATCAGAAATCTTGACCTTTCATAAAGAATTTTCTTCTGGCAAAAATGTATCGAGTATTTGAAGCTTTAATATATAATTGAATAATTTAGTAAATAATTTATTTGTGCTTTGTCATATCTAATTTTAGATTAATTAAATGTTGCTATTATTAGCAACATTTCATTAACCTAAGATAGTACTTATCTATATTTGATTAAATTTTACCAAAAAAATATTATTTTGTTACTCTTTGAACCACGTACCACATTTACATCTCGTACATTTTATTTGTTAAAATTCATCAATTAGCTGCATTTGAATTGAACGCGTTGCTGTAGGTCTAATGAAAAAGTTAAACAGTAAAAGAAAAAAAGAAAGAGGACGTAAATGATCAGTGTGTGCAGTTTTCAGTAATGTATGGTGATACCAATGAATGGCTCGCGTAGCGTAGCCGAGTCATCTGGATCATCTGGAGTATCTAGAACGTATTGATCGCGGCTAAGCAGCTGTACTCTCAAGCTGACAGTAACGTTAGGGCGGCCGCACAGAAAATACACGTGTCACACGCTCTCGCGACGGAAACATTGTTATTCTACGAACGACAGGAAAACCCGAGGGAAAGTGCAAAGCCCTTTGCTTCGATTCGATCGAAACGAATCTACGACGTTCTCGCGTTTTATAAAAACGTAAAAAATTGATGACATCGAAATGATTGAAACGACTTGTCCTTTCTATGTTGATATGTTGTTCAATAAATAATATAAAATACAGAAATAAATGGTTAGAGTGTTTTGTTTTTAAATTGGTTTTTAAATATATCGAGTGCGTTACATAGATTTTGTGGATATATTTTATAATTAGAGCGTGTAATAATGGTGTTATAAAGGAAGATTCAATGAAGATGCCAACCAGTGACAGTGGATTTTTGGAATTTTTATTAGCCCTGGTGTTTTACAGTTTTTTTTTTCTTTTTCCATTATAGTGAAAAGTTTCGTTAAAATGCTACGTATAGTTTCGTTTTTAAGAAAAATATAGCATAATATGTACATTTGTTAGTTGTAAAGTGATCCATTGAATTTTTTGTAATTTTTTATTTTTATTTCAGTGTTTGTGCAAATTTCGAAATTTTACTAATAATTTGCTATTAAAAATAGTGAGTATTTCTATTTGCATTCAAATTTTGAATTATATGACATTATATATTTATATCGATAGAATATATATATATATATATATATATATATATAGACGAATAAAATATTAGGAATTAGAATAAAAATAATTGAAAAAAGTCAAGATTCACTTAAATTCGAGTAGCAGTACTTGTATTTATATTTTTCTTAAATTGTACAACTTCAACTACCTTTTTACAAAGTTTGATGTAATGTAAAACAGTCGATCGAAACTTTAAGCTTCGAAAAGCAAATTTATTTGACGCTTATCTTGTCTACATGAAAGGGGAAACACCAAATGCTTCTTCGTTTATCTGTAAAAGATATAGTTTTACATAATACTGATATTATACTCACAAGTTTAATGACAAAATGTACACTACTGTATATATATATATATATATATATATACAATATATAGTTTGTTAAAAATTATAAAACTATATGTTGTTAAAAATTATTTTTTTCGTTAATTCATCTCAAATTATGGAAAGTGATATAAGTTTACATCCATAATGGAATTAGTAATCAATTTTACATGTTATGCCATGGATTTCTAAACTTTGTCTGTTTTTATTAACTTAATAATTAACATTATTTTCTCATTGCCAATGAAAGAAAATATTTCATTCGTTTAAATGATAATAAAAAGTTTCATACTTTTTTGCGCAAGTAGATAATTCTTCTTTCTTGTTATCAATTTGTGAAATATCAGTTCTGAGTATAAAATAAAATTTTATTCATACTTGTTTATTTTTTTGAATATAACATAAAGTTTTTCTAAAGAATTTACGTGTTCGATAATTAATTGAAAATGTCTGCAACTACTGAATTTCTCTCTTTTGTAAATACTAATTTAAGCGATATTAAATTTACATCTTTATAACTATATAAACTTCAATAATTTTTACGAGCGTATTTTCTTGTAACTCTCAGTTTTTTTATTTTGCGAAACTCTCTTTCTTTGTTTTTTCTCACTGCTCTTTATTCTATTTTTATATTAATTAAATCGATCCTGCAACAAATAACCATGTAATTTAAGATAAAAAAATGTATTCTTTTGTTTTTTCTTATATGCTATTAAAGATTGTTTGAATGTGTATATAGTTATAAATTACAAATAATATTTTAACGGTACTGATTCATGATGTTTAATAACTTGCATCGATTATTCATATAAGGTGTCTCAAGTCGTTCTGTAAAAAGAAGAAAGTCACATGAAAATATTATAAAAAGTTACGACAAAAGTGAGAAATAATAGGAAATTAATTTTTCGTTCGATATTATGATTGAATATTATAACTAGAGAATAATGAATAGACACTAATTATTTCCAGGATTATCGTCACTATTACGATACGAAAATTTGTAGTTAATTTTATAAAAGACAAGAATTTATAACTTTTAATTAGTTGTTGATATTTGGCAAAATTCAGAAAAAATCCGGGTGTAATAAGTTCTATCGAATCAGTAGATGTGAATATAATTAATATTTTATTAAGGTAAATGGAACAGTTTGCTGTTATTTTACAATAGCGTTACAATAGTGAGAAATAGATCATTAAATAATTGTACAGAATGATTTGCATATAATCGGAGTAAGCGTGTACCCTGTGAAACGTTTCTTTTGCTTCTTTTGTATATTCTTTATAGTGTAACGAAAAATAGATCATTGTTTCATAGTATGCTATTGAAAACATTTCGTTTGAAATCTCTAAGTTATTTTTCAATACTGAAAATAATATATCTATCCTACAGTCTACAATTTTTATTTTGTCCATTATATGATCATAAATTCCAAATTATATATTATTTTTCTATTAAATTTTTAACGTTTAATACAAATATCCAATTTTATATTTTTAACTAATAAGGATATAATAACACAATTTGTACAAAATTAATTATATATAATGATCATCGATCAATCGTCATATGTTCGTATTGTAATAATGTAATATATTCGAACAAATTTCGAATCTTTCGATTAGATAAATGATGGATCAGACAAAATACATCGATTCATGGAAAGAAATAAACACTTCGTTAAATGTGATTACTTCAGTGAAAAAAGAAGATCGTTGAGGATCGAAATTCTTCGAAAGAATTTGGATCGTTTTTTGTGCTGAATTATTAATATCAGTTAACGTTTCCACAAAATAACCGTGCGTACTGATTAAGCAATTATCCGTCCGACGAAGCAATCATACGCGTCTCTTGGGTTTCATGAAGAAAAGTTACTCAGTTAAGAAGACATGATGCGAGAGACAGAGCACATTGGCTCTGTTTGCGCTTGTTAATCAGTTCAATTGAATAACGTATTAATACATCGGGGTAAAGGGTTAACCGCAATGTCCACGCCGGACACGATGGATACTATCGATGAAGCGGAGCAGGCGTGGCGTGAGTATCAGTAGAATTCACAACATTTTTCATCCTCCGTTATTTGTACAAATAGTCACACTTTAAACGTGTAATTAATATTGAAAACAGTTAAATATTTTATCATATCCATGTTTGCAATGAATATTTCCTTGTATATATATTGAAACTTGTATGTACATTTATCGCTTGTATACATATTTACCACAAAATAGACATTTGTACATTTTTGATAGAATTTAATTTATTAGGCCATCTAATAAGTGCGATTTTTCTAAATTTCGAGTAATGGAACTTGTTACCAGAAGTTTTAAATCATTGGAGTAGAGAATATAATGGAAAGGAATAAATAAAAAAAAAGAAATTAATAATAATGAATTGCGTTATTTATGGAGTGTTGATGAAATTAAAAACATCCAAGATGATTTTAATTTTTATTAAAACTGTCGTATATTATGAATATTATGACACAATAAAATTCATATTTTATATAACAAAAAATCTTAATGTCATTATATAACAAAAAATCTCATACCTCATATCTAGGAGCGGTAATTTCAAATTTATATTAGTAGAATTTTTTTGATAGGATGTTTATCTCACTAAACATTTCGTCCAATATAGGTAAGCGTTTCTTTGCTGTGCACAAATCAGTGAAATAAACATTATGCCATGTAAATATACCAAAACATTTACAAACATTTATCTTAAATCTGATAAAACTAGAGAGAGAGAGAGAGAGAGAGAGAGAGAGAGAGAGAGAGAGAGTTGCGTGGACTTTGTATTCATAGAATAGCCTTTAAATGTTGTAATGTGGAAAATTTCATTCAGAGTATGGAAGAATTCTATAAAGTTTATGATGTTCTGTTGTATGTTTCGTTCGTTAAACAAGAATTTCCTTTTACAGACGAGATGCTGGAGTGTGAGACTGGGTCTCTGTTGGTCCGAGTCGCGGACCTCGAGAGACAATCCTTGGCACAGAGAGACGAGATAGTTTGCCTTCGCGCTACTCTAGCGGATGCGTTAAGGCGAATTGCCCAGCTAGAAGGACGCGAGAAAAGAGAGGATGAAAGAAACGAAAGGAGGAATGAACGATTAGTATCCTCGCCCTTAAGAAATGGACATGTATCGCTTAGAAGTGAGTACATACTATAAACCAGAACCATTATCTTTACGCGAATCTATCTTTTGCAAACAACTTTCTAAGGGTTAGACACAAAAATTGCTCTATGTTTTTACGTTTATTATTATTGTATCTACAAAAAAATATAAATAGTGTCAATATTACAATAAATTTTCTTCAGACTAACTTTGTCTCTCTGTCTTTCTCTTATGTATATGTTCAAATTATTTTATCTAAAAGTTAAGTATTATTCACATACATAATCCAAATATCCATAACAAATTTCTAAGATGTTTTTGATAAAGTCGACCTATTTATTTCACAAAATAGGTTGTTTTTCTATTTTAAAATTGATATTTCCATGAAATTTCTAAACGATAAATCTAAATTTATAAACGATCGGTACAATAAAAAGCAAATTAACTTAAATTTCAAACAACACAATCGACAAATATGATATTGCCGCATTTTATGCGTTCCAAATTTGAACACGATCATAGAATTTATTTCGTTTGTTTTTTCATATGATAACGATTACTTCTTATTTGTTTGTCATATGACAATTATCATCGTACGATAATCAATACATAGGCTAAGAGTATATATGTATATTTTCGATATCCGGCATATATATCGCGATACAACTATCGTTTAAAATTTCGTTTACCTTAATATGTCGAAGAACATGATTGTTCGGATATCACTAGCTTTCCCCATATTCTATTCTTATTTGTTTGAATAATAAAAAATAGTAGATAAGGATAACAAAAATTAATCAATTATGATTTCGTATATCTAAGACAGATTATTAACTACTTCTAATAAACGAAGTTTTACTGCATATAAATATCTTAAGAAATTGTCTAAATGATAATGTTTAAGAAATAATGTAATCGAGAATTATTAACCTGTTAATATTTAATTCTTTATGTTCGGTATCAAGTTAACTACAACATTCTGATTAAATTTTTGTGTAATTAGATTATTTTTGACGTACTGTGAACATAAAGGAAAAGAAAATTTATTTTCTAATAATTTCACATACTGTAAAAATTACCTTATTTATACCATTATGTTTCGAATATCTTAATATTCTAACGTTAAATATTTGAAGTGGAATGTTTGCTGAAAAAACAGAAATTTGCATGATAGAGATTCTATTGAATTAAAGGTAGTAAATGTTTAAAATTTAAGATAGTAAATCGAAAAAAATAGTCTATAGTATTATATAAAGAAGAACGTTTAAATATTTCCTAATTCATCACAAATGTTTAATTTATATGTTTTTTTCCAATACCACGAGAAATTGTTATTTTATTATAAGTGTTCATATAAAGCTGTTCATATAAATGTTCATATCAGGATATAAAGGGTTAAAATACATATGTAAGAGAATAATCTTATTCGTATAGTAAGAAACAAAACTATAGCCAATAAACGTATAAGAATAAACTAATTAGTATATATTCTATGATGCAGAAACAGACAGAAGCATAGTAACGCGAAACAAACAATAGTTCCACATTGCCTTCTTCTTCATTCATTTATTTAGATTTATACACATCGTTATTATTTTTTTCATTTGTCTATTTAGAATCACGTATATCTTTTGAAATTATTAGCAACCATTATAACAACAGAGAAAAAATTGATGAAAAAGAAAAAGTGAATATCGATAATTGTTTGTTAGAAATTGGTTTTCTTGAGTTTGGGTGAAGCGATTACTTTGTCAAGATAAACAGTGAAAAAGGAAGTGAAATAAATTTTCGAAACACGAAGGATCGTTTCGTAGTATGGAATTCCAAAGTTTTGAAAGTAATCGTTACGGAAGCCGTGGATGCATATCGCGAATCGCAAATACGGAGAAGCCTCGTGAGGTTGAGCCCATTTGAAACAAAGTTTATCAGGTGTATCTGTTAGCACGCGACTGGTTAGAATTGCGTTCTGTTCCCTTCGTGTTTCATCGAGCAATTGGTACGCTCCCAAACGAATTCCAAGCTACTAGTTTTTCCAATAGAAATTGTTGGAATTTCAACTTTTTCACATAGTTTAACACGTTCGCGACGGGCTGTACCACCGATGGTCTGTACTATGAAACAGGGTGCGCCACCGGTGGTATGTATGCCGGTGGTGGTATGTACACCTCTTGTCGAGCCTAAATATCTTTCTATAAAATGATTATATTATGCGTTATTTGGTATTTCTTCAACTGCTAATAATTTATCAATAACTTTTTCTCTAAATTTCAATATGCTAATTTTATGACTGTCCCATTGTTTATGTATGTAACATGCATTTACCGTTGATGTATGTAACTGCTGTACCGTCGGATGGGAGAAAGTACGAATAACAGAGCCGCCCCACACCGAAGAAAGCAAATTCAGGCCCCGTCGTAGATGTATTAAAGTGAAAGAAAGAAAATTAAATTTCCTCCTCTCTCTGATTTACATTTCTCTTCTCTTCTATCTCTTTCTCTCTCTCTCTCTCTCTCTCTCTCCCTCTCTCTCCCTCTCTCTTTGTTTCGGTCTATCTAAAGAAAAGATCGATAATGTGTTATTTGATATCCCATATGTCATTAGGTAATCAGAATTCGACACCTGCGAAAGATATACGTTTGCGACAAACTGGCAGCTCTTGTCTAAGAAATTCGTCTTCGTCAGGATCTTCTCAGGATGTCCGAGATTCGATTTCAAGTCCACGGAGACCAGTCAGTTACACACATTCCTCACAACTTCCTCAAAGGTAATACAATTTTATACTTTTCAACCGTTTAAGTGCTACGCGGCTTTGCGAAAATCGAAAATCGAATGATCGAAAAATGCCAGATGATGCAATCATGCTTCTTTCGTTTCATGTCTAAAAATGCCAAACGGCGCAGTGACTGCAAAGTTTTTAATTTAGTAGAGTCTCGCTAAGCGGTAACAATAACATTACTACGTATCGACAAAATCCAATCGTGTAGTCAGTTCGACTTTATGGGTCGACGAATTAGCAATTTTAGGTAGTAAATAGAAGTGCGATCGCGCCGTCTGGTACTCAAACGGTTAAATAAAGTGTTCAGAATAGATCAAATTTCTTCTACGATTCGATTAGTAACTAATAATTCTTCTATGTGTTGCGTGTATTTAGGAGAGAGTCACATTATGCTTTAAGTATTTTTATTATATTTTGAACTAAAGTCGACAACTAAAACTTTCAAAAACGAGTTTGTGATTTAAATGGAATTTTATATATAAATAGAGGAGAATTACTTTTATCAAATTTATTAATAAATTTTAATTCACAAAAGTAAAGAAGTTGTAATTTATGGAAACGAAAAATTATTGTGTACTGCCGATTATATTAGTAAATTTTTAAATCTAAATGAGTTACAATGATAATAAAAAGATATTTAATTATTACAATAAAAAATTTTTATTCCAATGTTATTTTTACGGACATCATAAATGGCACAATCACTTAATCTAATTTTCTTCATTTGTGTATTTAATGTACATATAACTGTTTCTCTTTTGGAAATTTCAGATATATTTTTTGTACAGAAAAAAATAAAAGAACAATTAAATGAAATAAATAAATAATTTCAATTACTAACAAAACTTTAAACTTTTGATTTGTTCTCTATTGATCAAGACTTTATCGATACTACATAATAAATATATGGAAACATTTTAGATCATGGTGTATTATATATAAAAAACTTTGCAAAACGAAGGCTTTTTACTACTGGACAGCATTGTTTTATAAATTTATGAAAGATTAGAAGAAAGTGCACATGATGTAAATAATATGGAAAAATACATATAATATATTATAATACTTATAATATATTATAATACAATATTTTCTTATAATAATTATTAGGTAAATTAATTTTAGCCCTATATAGGTTCCAATTTTTTAATTATTTTTATGAAAATATTTATATACATTTATACTTAATGGACTAGAAATAATATACATAATAGAACAAAGTCATTTGGATACATTACGTGAAAAATAAAAGATTAGCTTTAAAGTAACTTCTGGTAAATAACAACGTATACGTTTAATGTCTTGGAATATCGATAACAATGGAGTGAATAATGTGGTTCCAAATTATGTTATGCAGAATTATAATATTTATTTATTCATTTAAATGTTAATATCTGGTGTAAAAAGTGAAAATTAATTTTAATTGATACTGCATGACTCTCCCTTATTTTGTGACTTACGTTTCGTACAAAGTATCATGCAAAATATCAAGTGATTGAATTTGGTACGAATTCGTTAAAGTGTGGAGTAGACGAAGCAGAGTAAATTTGATTTTCAGAAGGTCAGTTCATTATCAATCAACGGGTTCGTTACACTCGGACAGTCCCAGTAGTAGTAGTGTTTCCCCGGTGCCATCGCCAAGTCCTAGAGCCACGCCACTGCCAGTAGCCAGGTACATGTTCTTCAACGAAATTCATTCATTTTCTCTCTATAGTTTTTTCATTTAAATAAGATTTGAATAGGGTAATTTCGTTATTTTTGACATAGAAAATGATAATTCATCATAATAACAAAAAATAATAATTTTCCAAAAGAATGAATCGAAAACGATGTAGCCGTTTAGTAAAACACATTACTTTTGTATGCAAAATTTACTAGTCTCTATAAAATTAAAAATTTATGTAGATGTTCATTTAGATGTGCATGTTATCGGATACAATTTTATTAATAATAGTATTTTGCTTAGCAATGTTTGCTTGTGCTCGTGTCTGCAAATAAATTTAGCGATATATATTAAAAATAAATTTCTATCCTCTATAATAGATAAATACTAAATACTATAGATACTTGAGTCGGGCAATGATTGGGTCGAATTGGGTGGCGTATTGAAAATTTGCCTAACACTCATAATTTCGGGATCCGAAACTTAATATCCGAAACTCATATATTGTCGTGTAATTGGGCATAAGAATTCGTAAGGAAAGAAAGCATTTCACAATCATATTTCGCATTTATCCAAACGTATTTATGTTTCAAGTAAACTTTCGAGAACTTGTGTAACCCGATTCGAAAATTATATAACCTGACTCGTATTTTCGGATACTTTGCATATCCTTAATAAATACTCCTGAGAAATTATTTTCTTTGACATTTTTTCGTAATGAAATTGCACTAATATATATTTATCGATATTCTTGCTGTTTCGTTGTTATTTTGATAATTTTTTATAGTCATGAAAATGAAAAGAGGATGTAGTAGTACTCTCATATTCTAAATGTTAGAGAGAAAATGTAAAATGTAGATGAATCGAATCCTTTTAAACGATATTTGTCCGAATTGCATGAATATCTTTAGATTTCAGATTGTGTCTGAACAAAAGACGTATTATAGTACGTAAATAAAAAAAACTGTATAATACTGCACCAAAATCTAAAGTCACACAGATACAACCGAATTAATTTAATTGTTTATTATCTGAAGCCACACAGATAAAACCGAAACAGATTTTATATAGATGATATTAGAAGAGTTTCTTGTTTCAAATAGAACGTAACTGATAAAAACGGTTAAAAATTAAGAATATTAATTTATATCCAAAATTATAGACACAACATTCCTTGAATTTTAAATTGGGCATAAAAAAGGGAAGGAACAAAAATAATATATAATATGTGAAAAACTTGACATTGACGTTAAGTAATTAATAATCTCAGTCATAGTTGATAAAAAGGCGATAAATTGAATTGTTTTTTGTGCTTGTCAAATAGTGTAACATATTTGATATTTAAACGTCGATTTCCTATTAAAATGTCGATTTTCTTGTCGAATTTGTCGGCTATTGCATAATATCGGGAAAAGGACGTGAGGAATTTCATTTAACGTGAGATAAAGTGAATCCTGACTACCAAGTGAGAGTTCCGTGACACAGGTAACGAGCATTTCTGTCACAGAATAATCCTATTATTCGATAGATCACCGACAGCAAGATCAAACGGACCACCACAAAGCAGCTTAAGAAGGGCAAAACGATGGTCATCAACAGGAGACTTTACACATTCCCCGCAAAATCAGGGAAACAATTCGCAACTTGTCAGTAACAGGTAAGCGAAGTATCGATATTATTAACGAGTGAGTGCACATTTGCTTGCTTTCGTGATTTTTTTCTTTTTTGCGCACTGACTCGACTCGAACCCTCTCTCGGTGCACATTTTCGCTTTTATGAACGTTTTACGTTACGTGGCAGTCGAACGTGCTTTTTCTTTTTGGGTAAAAGCAAACAATGCGCGTGAATAAAAAACAAAAAACAAAAAACCCTCCGGAACATTTTTTGTTTGATTTATAGAACTATTAGAGGGAAATTTTCTTTTGAATGATTCGAACAGTCACGGTGAGCGATTAAAATTATTAGTCTTCAAGAAACTGTTTGTTTTTCATGCTTAAGTGTTTAACTCATTCTCCAATATGGCTTGAAATACCGATATGAATTGTAGTTTGTATAAGATTTGTAAAAGTTGAATAGTATTTCTTGTTTTATTTATTGTATAATTTATATATTTATACTGTCGTTTAAAAGTCTTAGGACATTTCTTATTTTTAATATGTAATACTTATCGTAGATAATAAAAATTTTAAATTACATATGTGTAGATTATACTTTATAAAATATAAAATATTATTTAATTATTATTTTTCTAATTTTTAAATAAGTATTGTACTTATCCTAGATTTTATATATTTTTACTCTTATAACTCGATAAGTCTAACCTGAAAGGTAAGCGTCACCTGCCGCTCGACAGAACCGAGCAGAGCAACGGACTATCGATTATGTCTCGCGATGTGAATTCACTTCACAGCTCATTAATCATCAAAAGCGTGTAACTGTCTCCTGCCTGCTTTCCATTCGCTCGAACTTCCCTTTGGTGACAACTGAATCGAAAGAATGCCACCGGAAGAGGATAATTCTCCTCATCGCGGGGGAGAACGCGCGAATCGTTCAATGGAAAAGAAAAGAAAAACACGTAATTTCGTCACGGTATTTCTGTTTCTTTTCTACTTTCTGTCTTTTTGTTTCCTTCATATTACAATTATTCTTTGTTTTGCACCGCATGGTTTTCGTTGCATTTTCGTTCATTATAGATTCTCAGCCTCCACCAAGTCTCTGTTCAACCTCTTCAAGCCACCAGCGTTGAACAACGTAAAACACGGGTAAATAAAAATATTTTTTTGCATTCTTTGATTTTTATCATTCATTCTTTGAAAACATAACCCTTTTGTGATCACAACACAATTCTTTGAATAGTTTTTTAAATGTAAAATTTAAAAATATTTTAAATAATGAAAACCTTGTAAACCAAAAGTTCGTCGATTTAGTAATCCGAACTTCTTAAGATATTCATTTAATCTTTCAAATATGTTTACTTCGATACCGAATAGACTTTTTCTACGCAAATAATGAAAAATAACATTAATGTGCATATACAAGATATGTACATATCATTCTTGAGGCAATAAATTCCATCAGCACGCTTATGCATAAATAAATTTGGTATATCATAGATAGTTAAACTGATAATTTAACTAAGACACATTTGATATATTCGATACATTCGATACATTTTGAGAAACATACACGTTCTCCTAGTCACGAAAGGGTTAAACAAACGAACTCCGCGCACCAGCTGTTATGACCACATGTGTGGTGCACGTTACACGTGCATTTTAAGACACACCTTATAAACCTCTTTCAGGTGAGTGGTGAAGGATATGGTAATTTTTCGTTCGTACGTTTATTTCTTAAAATTTTTAACTTAAATTTCTTTTAATACATTGAGACAGTTGTGAGAACTATTTCAAAATTCCGCGTATATCAGAGGTAGTGAGTAGAGTAGAGTTTGAAAAATATGTAAAATTATACATATTTTTTAGCTTTTTAAGAGCTTGAAATTTATTTATTATTACAATAAATGTTGAAACCAAATATACACTATATAATAAAAGAATATGAACTTTGTTCATATTAAAAATATACAAAACTGATGAAGAAGTTAAAGCATAAATCAGAAACTTTATTCGGCTTGCAACTTTGGTACACGCGGCAATCAAAACTTTAAAATTAATATTAATCTATTAATCGATCGATTAATGCTCAAATTGCGAAAAACAAATTAAAAAATAAATTCCCCGTGATATAAATAATTATATCTTCTTTGTATTTCTAAAAACAACGAAGATAATTAAAATAATCATTCGTAATTGAATTGAACATAGATATGGAAGTTTACTAATATTTATTAATATTTAGATTTATTTAGACACGAACGATCACAAATGTGCATCGAAAGTAGAAAGGAACGTACTGAATGAGTTTCAACTGTGCTTGAGTTTCTAATACTAGATACTACGATAACATAGCATGCTGTTAATATACTATGTTAATATATTATAACTAATAAAATTTACTTTCGACGTTCGATCTCGCATGTAAATAACGCAAGAATGTATAAAATTTCTGTTGATGAAATCTATCTTTGCACAGTGGAATCGAAAGGAAACCATGCATTTATGTTGATCGCATGCATTATATATTGGTGCGAGAACCGTGAAGAATCTATTTTAATTAAACATTTCAGTTCTAACTGGCGAATGCGATCGTATTTGAAATACATAGCAAACTTGAGCATAGTTTTTTTTTTCTCGCTCGTGAAAAAAACCTTGTTTAGGACACGGTTCGCTTTCCTATTTCTCCTCGAGAAGCCCTCCACTGAACTTTCGAGTATTATCCCAATTAATAGAAAAATACGTCTATTTGAACGGATTTTCAGATAGAAAATCGCTCATATTTTGTACACCATGAGTATTCTACGTATCTACAGTAACTCTTAGTATTCGAATATAATGATGTTCGAGAGATTATTCGGTGTTATTGAATTAATTGCTTTTTTATATATTAAAACAATCATATAAGTTAGTGAAAACGCAAATTTTATTTATCTACAATTCGTGCAAATAGTTTTTTTGTAAAGTCTATTGCAGAGGGCGATAAACTAAATAATGATGAAATTCTCAATTTTAAACCTTATAATTGCAGATACATATGTTCGGGTAATGAGCAAATTACATTAAGTTTTCATGAGATGTGTACATGTGAGATATATATGTACAACCATTGACTAATAGAATAAACCGGACATCCAATGCTTTTTCATGTTCCATGTTTTGGGGATCACCTTACCATTTTCGTGTCCTTACATCCTGTTTTATCGACCTAGGCAAGCATTGCACTACAGCGCTATGGGCGATAGAAATTATAAGAAAAAAATATAGACAATGTTGCCGTTTTCTTATCGAAAATTATTTCTTGAATTGAATCCGGTGACACTATTGCTAGCAAACATACATATGTATATACATACAATAATCGTAATAAATAAATGCGAATTTAATAGACATTGTTTACGAAGCTCTATCATCGTATAATGTAATTTTTCACAAAAGTGCATTGTTTTTAATGGATCTTTACAATTTTTTTTCTACGTGCTATTGTGTATAAAAAATAATTAGAGTGTAATATCGAAAAGAAATTAATATTTCTTAAAGTGCTTCAAATTTTATACAGGATGCGGCTTTCAAATGAAAACATATCTGCTGTATTTTTGTTTTTAAGAAGAAAATGTTCAAGATAATATTACACTATTTTAAGGTACACATTTGTTGAAAGTGAAAAGAATCTTTTTCAAAGTTATTTTTACACTTTTGAAAGTGAAAGTGATGAAAATCTAATATTTTTGTCGATATTCTTATGGAGTATAAAAATTAAAGTTTGATCACCTGAAAGTTCATTCCAGTCATTTAATCTAAAGAAATTTTTTTGGGAATGAAACATTTATTAATTTGAATTTCACGTTAAAACAGTAAGAATGTCTATTACAGTCAAGCAAGCTTATTACAATAATCTGGCATTCATATAAAAGAAACATAGAATGGATTTATAGAATGATTTTGTAAGATAAATTATATGATTGACATATATTCGAAGGAGTTGCGGAAGAAGTTTTGACCAAATCATTCGAGATCTCGCATCGAATTGTCTCTCCTGCTGATTGTTTTATTTGACATAAGCAGCAACTTTATTTCTTCTAGAAACCGTGTTTATGCCTCTACTACCACGTGAATTTTACAGTATACTACGGAATTTCTTTACAATTTTATTAAGAATTTAATAACATATTTTGACATGCTTTATTGAATTTTTATACGAAGTCAAAATGATATATTCTCATTGAGTACTGCTCATTCTTATTCTCTTTTCGATTGTCTTCATCGCGATTGTCATCGTGTAGAATGACAAATGAAAAGCGAGTTAAAGGGACAGTTTAGGATTTCCTGACGAAAGTATAATTGTCAAATCTAAAAATTTGACATGGTTACCACATTTATATATATAGGTTGTTTATAGTCGCATTAATTACTTTGGTTATTAGCGACTATTTGACTTTTCTTTACACTATTTTTGTCAGTAGTTTCTTTTAAGTTATCTATTTTTTTTTTCTTCAAGGTTGTCCTTTATTTTGAGGCAGATTTTTAAGCGGATACGGGCGTCTTTGTATTTTGGGCAGTGTAGGATTAAGTTGTGATGATCTCTTCACACTAGATGCAGGTTCTCTTGCTAGTAAATGTGCGTGTGTGATTTCCGTGTAGCCAGTTTTGATTCTAGTTATGGCTACCTGTTCTATCCTGGAGAGTTCGGTTGATTCTATTGATGTTTGAATGAAATTATCGATGAAATTTTTGATGTGTGGCGAAACTATGTTGCTCCACTCATGCTCCCAATTTGCTATTAGTTTTCCTTTTCTGGAAACAGTTTACAATTAGTTAGGACTTCTATAAATATGCGTGAATGTGTCTATGGATGAATTGATAATTGCGTCTTTTGCTGCTTGTTCGACTTTTTCGTTTCCAGGAATTCCTATAGTGAGTAACGAAAATATTCGGACACTAGAGTATACATAGATTTAGTTCTTTATATCTTAATTGTTTGTGCATAAAATCAATTTATTCTTTTTCCATGTGATAAGTTATTTATTTAGAGTTATAAAATATATAAATTTTTTTTAGCAATTTTATAAACATTATATTCTAATTAACAATAACTGAAAAGGTATGTCATTATTGCGTTACAAAAATATTCGAACACATTTGAAAAAACAGTAATTTGAACGTCCTAGATAAGAATATAAATCAACTTAATATTTTGTAGCATGACCTTTCGCTTTTAATACGTGCCTTAAACGTTTCGGTATAACTTCTAGAAACTATTTTTTTCAAAAATCAGGACTTGTACGTTTTTATTGTAATTCTTATCGTAATTTTTTTTTTAAGCTTTTTTTTAAGGAATTTATAGGTGTTATTCTTATTCTGCGATCTAATTCATTCCACAAATTCTTTATCGGATTAAGATCCAGAGACTGTGGAAGTGAATGCATCACTGTTTTGCAATTATACAACAAAAATTTTTGTACTATTCGGGCCTTGTGCTTAGGGTCATTATCCTGATAAAATTTAAAACTGTGTTGAGTACCCATTTTAATAGCACTTGATATTAAATTATCCTATGTTTAAATATTTGTTCTTGTTCATGATGTCGTCAATAAAAACTAATCTGCCCACGCCACTACTCGAAATATAACCACAAACGAGAACACTACCTTCACCATGTTTGAAAAACGCTCGCCAACATTTAAATTAGATTTGCTATATCCAGCATGTATTTTTGTGCCAATGTTATCGGATCGTTTGATCCAGCCGGAAGCCTATGAGTAACGATTTTTAACGGCGGAAATTTGTCTTGAGTGTTATCGATTAGCGTTATAGTTGGTTGAAGCATTTTATTAATGGTTGGTGGTAGGTTGCCACTAGTTTTCCTACGCTTGGTTTGTCTGTATGTTCATTTGGCGGTATCATGATCGGATCTGTTGGAGTTTGATTTACATGAGCATTTGGTTTTGTTGATTTTTCTGTAGATATGGAACATGGTCTTTTAGTATTTGGGGCATTGTTCGGTATGGTAGTTTCCTCTATTTTTGGTTGTGGTATGTGGTCGTCCATTTGTTGTATCGGTGCATTCGTTTTAATCGTTTCTTCAGCTATGGTGGGGAAGAGTGGATTTGAGATAGTGGCTTCATATTATGTCCTGATTCGTTACATCTGAAGCAGTTTGATTGATCGGTGGTTACAAATATTCGGTATTGGGTCTTTTCGTGCGTAACAATATAAATGAATGAGGGTATCCTGTTTATATCTTCAGGTTTTATGTATACTTGTCATCTGAAGCTTAGTATGTATGCGAATTCCGGTTCATGAAAACCTGCTCTCAGGAAGAATATCTTGGAAACTAATTTAATATAGTTTCTTATGAATGCATTTTTTAAGATTTCATTTGGGATTGTGAGTGAGACATTGGATAGGATTATTCGTTGAGCTGGGTTAATCACTGGTTTTATCTCGACATTTTAGTTGTTGATGAAAATGTATTTGAATTTGTTTGTAAGATTTATTACTGTTTCTTTTCAGTCTAAGTAGAGGCATACTCTTCCGTTAGATATGCGTGACATGAATCTTATTGAATCTGGGCCGATAATTTTTCCAATGGCACTCGCACAATCTGGTATCGTATTTGTCCTTGTCTATTGCTTCCATGACTATGCTTTGGTTTTTTTTTGTCCCTCTACTTGGAAATCATTTTCCTTTATAGTTTTAATTATTCGTTGCAGCACTTTTGTCACTGTCAGCATTATCGACACTGTCTACGCTATAGGCTCAATGATCACTATAGACACTGTAGTCTCCATGGAAGACACTCGCGAATAGTTGTTACCTGCGCGACGGCTAGAAAAGAACTGGCTACATTTTTGTTACTGTTCCACCGATCGGTTCTGTCGATGAAACGATGAAACTAGCAAAATAGGCTACACGATTCTTGTCTCAGAATCTCAACCCGGGATTACCCACCTGGAGGTCTAGTGTCGGGATGTACCTGCACTAGACTTTCACGTAGGTAATCCCGAGTTAATACTCTAAATACTCGAGCTCGATCAAAATTATCCGATAAGATTCAAATACTTGCATCTGGATATTTGAACAAATATTTAAAATAATTCAAAATACAAGTCTTATAAAATTGTAGAAAAAGTCATGTAACACTTTACTTGAATTCATTTTAAAATATAAAGCTTTTTCTTTGATTTATTTTTTTTTAAAGATATTTTTTAGTTATGTAGTAAGTAGGACATTAAAGACATTTTTATTCTCGAAATTGTAAATATTCAAACATCTTTAAAAATATTGAGAATCTTTTTCATGATTGGGTCCGTCTTTTTTCAATGATATTTTAAAACTTACTATAAAGAAATTCTGTAGTGGATATTCTATATAGCATCTAGCAAATACGCGAAACATAAACATAAACGCCGAAGACTGCTAGAAGAGATAAGACTGCAGTCTTATAACAAAGAACGATGATCAGCAGGGGAAACGGAACGGGCAATGAGAACTCGAACAATTCAAATGAGCCGCAACTCTTTTAAATATATACAATTTTATAATTATTCCTTACATTGCTGTATAACTTTTTCTATTAAACTTTGATCATTAGGATTAGATGACAAAATGGTAGGATTTCCCGAATTTTTATCATTACATTAGTCTATACATTAGTAATGTTTATATAGCAGAATTTAATGTAAAGTGAGTGTAAAAAGTATTCGTACAGTGATTAATCACGACTAAAATGCTGAATAATAATATTTATTAAACAATATTTTTTAAACAAACATGGTACATCTATTCTCCAAAGTCTGTAGACAATATCAAATAAACAAAAAGAAAATTCATATTATTTATATAAATGTCAAGAAAAATGAGCAGAATGACAGAAATGAACGGGTAATAAGTATTCGTACAGTTCTATTGTCATTATTAAGTGTACAAGTAATTTAAACATTTATAATAGAAGCAACAAATAATTGTAAAATTAATATTTATAAATTAATAATTTAGTATTTAGTAGGGTTTCCCTTTGATTTTATTATTACAGCTAGCCTTCTAGGTATTGAATTAACCAAATTAGATGTGATTTTATTAGTGATATTATTCCATTCGTTGATTAAGTCTGTTTTAGATGAAATTGTATGTTTTCGAATTGATCGTTCCAGATAATCCCACAAATGTTCAATAAGGTTAATATCTGATGATTGTAGGGGTGTTTTTTAAATGTGCTGACGTATTATTATGTATATTATGTATTATTTTATGATTTTGTCTCTACATACCTAAGAGTATCTATAAAAAAAATCTATTGTTTATCAAAAATAAACTCATAGACCTTGATAGAAAACTCTCAAAAAGGTCATGTTATACAAAATAAGAATGATACATATTTATTATTCAAATATTGTATCGAAATAAATTAAATAATAATATTTAATAATTGTTTATAAAAACTGATTTCGATGATTTTGTAATATATAGTGTAAATGTAATGATAAATTGTTATTCTAAATATTAGATTAGGGCACGATAACCTAAGAAATATTTTGTTGAAAGGACGAAATATGAGGCAACAGGTATGAAAGTCACATGAATAACGGATCATTTAGTAGTACGTAGTAAGCTACGCCATTGCATTCCCGAAGAAAGTGAATCGCGAGTCTCGTTACACAACTGTGAATTCCTTGATTTCGTGCCACACCGATCCATTTCCAACGGATCTTTGAGGCTTGGCAAAAAATTTCACAAACAACGAAAGTTCCTCTTCACGGTTTACTGATTCATTCTACGTCTGTCTGTTAGATATACTGATGCTTGAATACGCTCTAATATTTTAACTACCTAAACTAAATTTATTCGCACGCAAGAACTTTATATTTATTTTCTTGTGATTTAGTTGCGAAATTACATAATAGTTAAAAGTCTGAAGACATAAAATTTGTACAAGTATATAAATTTTATTCACTTCAAAGAGACATAAAACTTCGTCTGAAGATATAAAACTTGTACAAGTGTATAAATTTTATTCGCTTTTTTAAATATTTTTTCGAACTGAACGTTATTTCTACTTATGATTTGCGACGATGTATAATATATTTTTCTTATTTATATGTGATATTGCTATTTCATATGCCAAATATGTGTGATTCAGTAAGATATTTCTCACGTATACAGTGAGAATATAAATTAAATAAAATTTACTTCATTCTGGTTGATATTCATCGAAGTGGCTCACGGCCGCTATTAACACAGGAACACTTGGGTTAAATCAAAAAAAGTATAAGCGACCTCTATTATCTGCTTTTACCAATTTCAGGTTTTTCGTACGAGTCGTAAATCGTATCTCGAATTGTAGACAGTCGATGATCGTAATTCGGTCGTAAAAGAGGACAAACAGTTAAGTAAAAAACAAGGCAAAAATAACGTAACGTGGTAACGTGTAAAACTATGCCTCAGTCAAGTAAAAGCGGACGTGCACACGAATGAGTCACTCTTTCGTGGTTTCATCGTCACGGAAAGTTCTGCAATTTCAATCAGTATATCGTTTGAACTCAATAGGTGTAACATCGTCTATGAAATCATTGTATAGATAAGACACGGTTGTTCTTTTTCACTTCTTAATCAGTTAACATTTCTATAATAGTGACTCGCAAGATAATGATTGTTATATTCTAGTATGATTATCGATGCGGAAGTTAATAAATGGCAGAGAGTGGAAAGTGGTACTGCCAACGGTAAAGTGTTGATCGAGAAAACGTCAAACGTTTCTTGTTTTTATAAAAAAGATCGATCGTTTCGAGTACCGTGGAAAATGTAATAATGAAAATCTAAGCGATGATGGATGGAAAAAAAGACTTTTAAATCGACGTCTTTAAATGACATGTAATGAGTAATTACCTATAGTGACTTTTGTGCTAGAATATATAGATATACTCTAATATATTTATAAATCCTATTTCGAGATACACATACGTATACTGCCATCTAAAAGTATGTAAATTGTAAATACTTACCATTTTTTTAAACTAATTTTGGATTGGACAAAAATGAACAATTAACAGGACGTTATTCTATTTACGAAAATAATGAAATCAAAAGTGTAACGTACAATTTCTTCACAGAACGCTTCGTCTTTAAATTTGAAAATTTATGAAGTACACGAATACGAAATTAAATCTTAATTAATATGTTCTAACCTTATTTCCTTGAAAATGAGACCTTAAACAGGAAGATTTTATTCTACATTTTTTTATTTTCACAGGTAGATAAATTTTCAAACTCAATTTTTTCGAAAATGAAGCTTTTCTTCTTTCTGACCTATTTTTTCATATAAAATCACTACCTTTATATATATATAAAGCTTTAATGCTTTAAATTATGTAATTTAATTATTATTTACTCAAATTTTTTAAATAAATAAATAAATATCCAGTATATCTAATATACCGAAAATCAAAAACGTAATGAAAAATTAAATGATGGTTATGTTAATACCTAACAAAAGATTTATTGAAAATAACAGTATTTCAGACTTATATAAAAATGCGATTATTAGACGTGTAAATGTTAAGAAGATATAATTATTTTTTATTATTATTAATAAGAATCAATTATTAAGTAAATATTTTTTTAAGAATAGAATATTGACTAGAATTCTAGATAAAATTTATTAATTCTATATATGTTTTATATAGAATTTGATAATTAATTTAATAATTATAAAAATAAAAAAAATGTCCGCATGCTTTCGAACGATAATGTATATTATAAGTTCGTTATTATTGTATCTTTCCGAAAAATTTTGAACATTACATCACCTATTCCTGGTATTCACCGTTTCTTATCTATGCTTATATAAATTCTCGCTTGAATACTTACTCTAATCCTTCCATGCGTGGCAACGCGCATTCTCATTAATACATTATTTAAAAAAAATATCCTCGTTTGCATGAACGATTGAAAAGAATATATGTATTTATTTATGAATTCACAGTACCAGAGACATGCAGTATAACGAGGAGGAAAACACCGTCCGCATGTACCTGAGGGGCCGACTTGTCGTTCTTTACGTTCCAACACCTTTGATGGAGTCGTACGACCTTCACAAAGTCAACACACCGCCCCAGAACAAACTGAAACTCGACTGGGTGTACGGTTACCGAGGTAGAGATTGTCGAAGTAATCTACATTTGCTGCCAACCGGGGAAATCGTTTATTTCGTTGCGGCCGTAGTCGTCTTGTACAACATGGAGGAGCATAACCAAAGGCATTATTTGGGTCATACGGACGATATCAAATGGTGAGTCAACTGAATTCATGCGTATTTGCCTGCATTACGTTAATGTTAATAATCGTGCGGAACTAATAGCGACAGTATGACGCTTTGAATTGGCTTTCTTTTTTACTTTTCTGCTGTACTGATGAGATATTAATTATTTGAATTTTATCTAAAACAGGATCATTTACTTGCGGACATAAAATTGCACGACGATTAATAAAAATTAAAAATATCGTTCTTCTAACATCCATTTATATTTTTCGCTCGATTTTTCTAATACTTCTCTCACGGGAGTAGAAAGCAATATAATTCAACGTCTGCGTGTAATTCGATGTGGCGTAAACTGTTTTTGACGTGCAAACATAAAATTTCTATCAAGAATTTCTTGTTTCACAAATGCTAATACGACAATTTTAGATTTTGTTTTATTTGTATTCGTCACATCATGTGATTTTGTATTATTTTGAAAATATTTTAGCATAGCCATTCACCCAAACAAACTGATAGTCGCCACTGGTCAAGTGTGTGGAACTGACAGACGAGATGCCATGGTAAGGACATTTTATCAAAGTTGAATGAAAAGTAATATCTCTGATATTGTACCTGATATTGTAATTGACAATACCGACACTTTAGATACATCTTTACGGTATATAAAAGAGACCGAAGCAAATTAATATAAGAGCAAGCTGACATAGTAAAATTATTTTGTAATTGAATAAAGAAATTTACTGTTTAATTGTTTGTTATAATAAGATATATGTTGACGTTAATGCCCAAAAATTTAATCACCTCTGGTTTTCTTCAGAATCCGTCTTGGATTAATTTGACTTGAAGTCAAAATTATTTGTAGATAAAATATTTTCGATTTTTCACGCACACAATATATGAAGTCCTGACAAATTAGATTCAACGCATATTATGTGTAAAATTACATAGAATACAGTAAGATATTTCTAATTATATATAGATGTTACTCAAATTTGGAAAATGATTAATTCTCTGTTGTCCTATCTGTCAACTAAATTCTCTGTAATTTATATACATATGCTGAAAATCATGAACTGACTAAATTATTCTAAAACTAGATTGAAAAAAAAAAATACTTTGTTATTTGAGACTTTTAAGATAATCAGATTTGAAAATTTGTTACGGCTAAATTGGCTGTTATTGTCTTTCACAGAAAATTAATCTAGTGACGTTAGATTTAGCGAACCTAATGGTCTTAATAATTTTTCATCGCGAAATTATGGATATCATCTTTGATGATATTAAGTCTTCAATTTGATGTTACACGAAGTAAGTTTTCAAGATATAATTATTAGATCAATATTTTCTTCCTAATTTTCAGAATTTCACATTCTTTCATATTTTGACACGAAAGAATATAGCCTTTCATTTAAAATTAATCTTGAAATCTTCGAAACATTTTTAAAAAGAGTACATGAATAACATATCTGTATAACATACTTATAACATACTTTAAATCACTTAATTTTTGTGTAAAAAATTGTTTCCTACAACGCATACCTTCAACATTATTTAACATTATATAATCAAGCTGCGTGAATCACTTTGTATAAGGAGGAAAGGATAAAGTATATTTTAGCATATTTCTTAAGTAACTAAATTTAAACAAAAATTGTAAAAATTAAAAACAGAAAATCATGTTCCGGTTTCCCTTGTATTTAGCACTCGTGGAATAATCTTACAAAAAAATTATGTAATTGTAGTTTATAAAATGAAATCGTGTAATGGTCATCATGTAATGGTCATGGTACGCGTTTAAGCATATTATGATCAAACAAACATAGGAAAATTGATGTTCATGAGCTTATTTTTTTCCACAGTAAAAAGAATAATTTTTAAATTGAAGAATTGACTATCTTCTTCTTTTGCAAGACGATCAATTCTTTTACAATAATTTTTACAAATTGGATATCATTAAGAATAAGCAGCTATGTTGGAAAATTATAAAAATTATTGAAAATTATAAAATCTAACATATTACTTTTCGTTCGTTATGTATCTTGTGCAAGAAATTAAAGTAAAAATATCTGTGTGAATTTTTATCTGTTATCTATGTGAATTTTTCTTAGCCTCATATAAGGATATGGAATTCAGTGAGTTTGACGACTCTTTGCGTAATTGGTAACGGTGAGTTTGATGGCTCGATTTGTTGTCTCTCGTTCTCGAAAGCTGACGGGGGAAATTACTTATGTGCTATTGACGAGACTTCTGATCACAACATTTCGATCTGGGATTGGCAGAAAGGGGAACGGGGCACGAAGGTTACAGAAACAAAGGTACGTTAATTAATATATTACTTTATTTAATCAAAATTATAGCATCTGTAATGATGCTATAAATCTTCCATCCATGAAGATTTAAGTAATATAACATAATTAACATTCTAACATAACATATAATAAAGTGCGTATTCATTTTACATAGTACCTTTCGTTACGATCTTTAATTTAATAAATTTACGTACCTGTAACAAGCCGTATTTTTCTTTCAATCGAAGTGGGAAAAAATGTTAAAGGAAGAATATAAAAAGTTTAAAATGAACTATGTGTTGATAATCTTATCTTTTTCATAAATGTAATAATGCATGCATATTTTATATATTTTGCAATTGTACTATTAAAAGGAAGCGTATCTTTCTTTTGCATACATTGAATCTTATCAGGTTAATACAATCGAAAAATTATTAATTTCAAAGATATTTTAATTTTAATTTTGTAAAATTTATTTACAAATTAAATGACGTAACGTATTATTCTTGAGTTTGTTTTCTTCGTTTTTTCATACGGCAAGTTCTAACATTAAAATAAAAATATTTTTTAAACTTGTCGCTTTTCTTGCTTATTACCTTCCTATAATATTTGTTCATATATTTTTTCAAAAAAGATACCTTATAGTTGCATAAATCATCTTGCCTAAAAAAAAGATTACAAATTTATGTTTATTATTACAATATTTGATATTTTATCATATGAAATATGTATATATGTATATTTAATTAATTTCATGTACATACGAAGTTAAATACTGTATGCATAAATTATAGAATTTTTATGTGAAAAAAGAAACACTGGAAATTAATAATGATTAATATCAATGATCATCAATTAATAATAATTAATGATCTGAACATCATTTATATCGAAAACGTTATTTATTAGACATCATATATATGTATTGAACTGGGTCTCATCTGAACGGATCAAAGAAACGAAAATAGTTCAGTCGGCAAAGATAATATACATACTTGGTCAAGTGATTCAAAACCGGAACCACTGGGCTATTTAATGAATGACGATTGTCAATTGCAGTGCTCAGTGGACACGGTGGTATGCGTCGAGTGGCATCCGCTGGAACGGAACCAAATTGTCTCCTGCGGAAAGGGACATGTGTCTTTTTGGTTTCTTGATAACGGTGGTATGCTGTACAAACGGATGGGCATTTTCGAGAGCAGGGAAAAACCAAGATACGTTACCTGTGTGGCATTTAATCAAAGCGGTGATGTTCTTACTGGTGATAGCAACGGTAATATCATCGTTTGGGGCAGAGGTAAAAGAAATTTCATTCTATTTTTAATGTACTCAGTATACTGTAACGCAACCAGCAATTTCTTCTCTAATGAAAATAACTTTGCGTAGCGTGAAAAATAAAAATTATATATAATATTTATATCAGTGATGCACAACCTTTGGCGTATAAAGAGTCGCATGCAATATTATGTTTCAGTCACGGACCATAATAACAAATCTCTTTCCTTTATTAAAAACTGCTAAACAAAAAGAATAAAAAAAGAAAAAATGACGAAACGAGAAATATGGATGTACTATTTCTATTGCTATATTCGCATATTTTTAATTGTGTTAATTTTATTACGCAAATAATGATTGAAAGATATTTCTAAAAAGTTTGATATATAAAAAAATATAAACAGGCTATGAGAAGTCCGTGGGCTGAAAAAATTTAAAAATGGGCCGCGAGTTGTGTATCTACTCTATATATCTATCTAGGATGAATAATCGAGAACGAATAATTATATGTATGTACTTAACAAGGATCGAAAAAGTTAGAAAATTTTTTAATAGATTTTATTTAAAATATAGATCAAACTATAGACGAAATTTTTTAATTTTAAAACGACTTTTTTAAAGAACGTTCTCACGTTATAAGTTTCAACGAAAATAAATAAAAAAATAATTCTTGAAAATAAAAATTTCAGTTTCAATAAGACTTTCTTGGATATATAGTGTAAAAATAAAAATTTTTCTCTAACATCAACAAATAATTTATTCATCAATATTAAAACAGTTTTTAATCATTGTAACATATATTGAATACTATTTAATGAATAGTAGAATACTATAACAATATTAAATAATTATTATATGAATTAAATATGTTAAATACAAATATGATATTTATAACGTGTAAAATAATATTTTGATCATCTGTTATAATGTTACTATAGTTGAATTTGAATTACCAATAATATGATATTGTAATATTAAATAAAACTAATACTTAATAGTTGAATACTTTTTATAAAAATTTAAGTTAATTTATGGAATCTTTTTTAACGAGATATCTATGTATAAATAAACTTTTCTTTTTAACTTTAAACTAAGAAAATTATTTTAGATCCTTTTAAAATTATTTTAATCAATTATTATAAAAATAAAATATAATTAACGTTATAACATATCCAATATTGTAAATAGAAAATTACAAATAGCAAATTTTTTAATTGTAACATTTTTTATATAGGAACAAACACAATTTCTAAAATAGTAAGGAATATTCACGAAGGATCTATATTCTCGATTTGCGTTTTGAAAGATGGTTTTATCGTTACCGGTGGTGGGAAAGATGGTAAAATACTATATTTTGATGAATCATTAAACCTAACAGGAGAAGAAGCACAAGTAAGCCTTAAGAAAATATAATATTATATTAAAATACAATAACTTAAATAAATTTATTTTTAATTGTATAAATTAAATTGCTTCAATTTACACTTTATAAATAGCTCACTGTATTTTGTCCTTCAATTTGTTCTTTGAGAGGTATAATTGATAACATATTTAAGCAAATGCTTCGTCTAACAAAACCAGTGAAATTGTATCTTCACTTTTCTTCGAGTATTTACATTATTATACATACAGTAGTATTTTCTTATTTACATTATTATCACACTAGTACTATTTATTACACTAACAGTAATATTATATGTGCAATTTACTAGATTGAGGATCATTTTGGTGGTATCCGAACGGTAGCTGAAGGAAGAGGTTCACAATTATTAATCGGAACAACACGGAATTGCATTTTAGTCGGTGATGTGGGAATGGGATTTAACCCAGCGATGTTGGGACACGCTGAAGAAGTTTGGGGACTTGCTGCTCATCCGATATTACCGCAATTTGCAACGGCAGGCCACGACAGGTTGTTGCAAATGTGGGATAGTCTCAGTCACACTGTGGTTTGGAGTAAAGACATTGGGGTTAGTACAATGTAAATTGCTATTTGAATAATAGTAGTAATGCTATTTTTCATTATTACTATCACTAATAATATCCATATACAGTGAGTCACAGAAGTATTCGTACCCTTCCTATTGTTGACTTTGAATGGATGCTATTTATTTATAATGCATTTTAGAAAATTCTTATAATGGGCATCGTATGTTGGAATAACTAATCTTTCAAAACACTATAAATTTTATTGCAAAAAAATATGTTAACATAACAAAAATCAAAGCTAAAATTGAACAAAATTTGAGCCACAGAAGTATTCGTACTTTACAAGTTATAATAAACAAACTGAGATTTTCATAAACAAAACATCATAGTTAATATTTTTGGTCCTCCTTTGTATCTTATTATACTTCTCAGGAATACTTTTAACTAATTTTTTTGTATATTCTTTTTCAATAGTATTCCAAATATCTATAATTTTTTCTTTTAAAATTTCTTTATTCGTAATTTCAAACATTTTTAATTATCTTTTAATCTCTGCCCATAAATTCTCACGTCGGAACTTTGGAGCGGTGTTGGTAGAACGTTGATGGAGTATTATATAAGACCCATTGTTTAACAGTATAAACTGTGCTTCGGGTTATTGTCGTGTTGGAAATAATAATTACTTTTCAATTGCAATTTTGTTGCACTTGATGACAAATGGCTCCGTAAAATATTTAAGTAATACCTCTTATCCATTATTCCGTCAATAAAAACTAGATCACCAATGCAATTGGCAGTCATGCAGCTCCATGCGTTACCCTCCGTGCTTGATAGTGCCTTTTAAATTTTTTTAATTCAAATTCCATGTTTTGTTTCCTTCATACCATGTTACATCCATCTGAATTAAACAAGTTAAACTTGTTCTCATTTGAGAATATGACGTGTTCCCAAAAGTTAATATCTTTGTCAACATATTCTTTTGCGAATTGTAAACGCTTCGTACGGTTCTTCTAATTAATAAAAGGTTTTTTCTTAGCAACTCTACCATCAAAATCTTCTTTTCGTAAAATTCTTTTACAGATTTCTGCAGATTACAGGTTTTTGCCTGAGTCTTCTTTATTAAATGATTTTAAAACGAATGCTAATATAATTTTGGACCACTAATAGTCGGATTCTTTTTATTTTTTTAATTACTGCTCTTTCTTCTCTCAAAGTTAGTTTCTTCGGAGCTCCTTTGCGTTGTCTATTTAACACATCTCCATTTTATTTAACATTTTTTATCACGTACTGCACTGTCGACTTACTTCTTTTTATTAATTTTGAAATTTCTAAGTAAGACTTTTCTTCAATATGCCAATTATAAATTAGTTTTCATTCAGATAACGAAATTTTGTTACTTTTTTGGTTCATTTTCGACACGTATTGATTCTGGCAATGTAATATTACGTACTGATATAATATGTACATTATGTTAATACATAGAACAACAATATAAGCCGGAGAGGACTTGACAAGAGTACTTGTAAATATTTTAATTTTAAATTTGAATAATTTCTTCGGTACAAATACTTCTGTGACTCGAATTTTGTTCAATTTTAGCTAAACTTTGATTTTTGTTATATTAACATCTTTTGTACAATAAAATTTATAGTGTTTCGAAAGCTCGCCAGTATACAATGCCCATTATAAGAATTTTATAAAATGCATTATAAATAAATAGCATACATTCAAAGTCAAAAATAGGAAGGGTACGAATACTTCTGTGACTCACTGTATGTACTTGAGATCATCTAAATATCTCTTTGAATTATAATAATGCAACAAATATTTTTTACGTAACGTGAGCATCTGGCAAAAATATTTTTTTCTCAAAAGTCATTTTGAAGTAAATTTTTTCAGCTACTTTTTTCAGAATTTCAAGGTCTTTGCTTATGATTATATACACATATATGTGTGTTTGTGTGTGTGCGTGTATGCGTGCGTGCGTGCGTATGTGTGATTATCAGTAACAGTAATGAACATAAAATTGTTAATCGACGCTGCCTGTGTAATATTTTGCGTTTGGCATTTCGCGTGTATTAATCGCAGAATATTCTGTATTTGATACAAATGAATTAATCCTTGATCTATTTTTAATTCATATTATAAACTGTCTGAGACATAATTCTATTCATTCTTATTTTTCTTCTTGCATTATTTGAATTTTTATTACTTTTTTTTTTTGCTTTTTTTATTTAAATTTTTATATTTCAATATATTTGTTATTATTCAATTGAGCTTGAAATTCTGTATTACTAATATCAAATTAATAAATAAATTGAATTTGATCTATATCTAACATGCATCACAATAATGCAATAAATATTAACGATCTATGAATGTTTCTAATATTTGCATAAATTTTAAGATAATATAAGATTAATCTAAATTTTGAAATTTAAGAACGTTTCAAGCTCAGAATCTATTTGCTTTGATATCTGCTCCAACGCGAAACATATGCGTTATTTGACAAAATAGCGAAGTTTTTAAAAATCCATAAAAATATACCCAAACTTATTTTTACTTTTATACATAGTTGTTCAATATAATTTTACGCTAATCAATTAACAAGTTTTTCAAATTAATATTAATAGGATATGGAAATATTTGGTTTCTAATAAACGATTGATTTCTAATTCTTAATGATGTTAAAACGACTGTGACGTAATTATTACGTACGAATATGTACGAAAATACTTTATGTACAGATTATGAGAAAAAGTAAGCTTAATTCTAATTCTGTAGTAATAAAACAGAATTTTTATTCATTTAGGAACAAGCGCAGAGTATTGGTTTCTCACCAGATGGTAATGTTATGGTAGTTGGATGCACTTCCGGAAAATGGTTAGCAATCGACAGTGAGACCCGAGAATTATATACTCATCATACCGATGGATCAGAACCTATACAGGTAATATTTCTTATAATCATTTTGTTTTCCATTATGACAAACTATATATTTCATTAACAAATACTTATAATTATAATTAATTATATAATCTTTCAGGTTGTTAGATTTTCACCAGATGGAACGCTATTAGCATTGGGTTCTAGAGATAACTATATTTATATTTATCAAGTAAACGAAGATGCAGTCAAATATAGTCGTGTTGGACGATGTATGGTAAGATTATTTCCTTTGTTACACAAATTTGTTTACTTAGGATAAGAATAAAATAAAATGAAAATTCAGAATTAGCAAAGTACAGTTGTATATATGTATATTGTTTTAAAAATTCATTAATACATATATGTACATATATCATTCTTATTAATATTTAAATATTAAATATCTTAATAATTAATTTTTCTTCAATTTTTCAGACTTATTTTATTATATATATTTTTTAATAACGATTTGAAACGATTTGAAACTGTATATTTTTTTAAATTTTTGTTACCAAAAATGTAGTATTCATGAACAATTGAAAATATTTAAAACGATTTAAAATAATGCTATACAAATTGCTTTTATGTATATATATACATATTAATATTTGTTGTAATTTCATATTATTTGTATAAAATTCACTTTATGATATTCATACTTTGCGATGTTCATTAGATCATTGTTTCTAAGTAATAACACATGTTTTCTTTTACAAGCCCGTTATAAAATGTAGATGAATGTCTGTTTTAAATTAACATATAATTATTTAAAAAATATTTAATTCGCATATATTTTCTCAAGAAATAAGAATGAAAATAAATATGTTAAATGAATTTAGAAATACATAAACATGTTGTAAATGTTTCATTAGTCATTATTCTGTTGAATCGATCCGATAATTAAAAAAAATAAATTAGAAAATTATCAATTATACTATTCTTTTAATACATGACTATATATGTAATAGTTTGTAAGAATTACTATATTTGTATGAATTGTTTAACAGATATATGAGTATATTTAATTACTAATAAGATATTGATAAATCTATAAAATGAAAATTAACATGCAAATCGGTGAAAGCGATCTATTTTACTTATCAAACAATAATTTATCAAATTTTTTATAACATATTTAATATGCTCTTGTTATAACTATAATGTGCTTTTGTTATAATTACAATATGTTTAATATGTTTTTGTTATAATTTATTATTTCGAATAAGAATCGATATTTTGTAAATTACATAATTACAACGTATCGTATTGTATCTTTCATAATGATTTGTAAAAAAAACACTAATAACAATGTGCAATTAAATTTTCGTTATAATTTATTTATTTAAGATTAAAGTAATTTCATTATTTTATCAAATTATAAATATCGCATATGATTTTTTCTCATTTCTAGCCAAAGCGGATACGCAGACGTGGTGTAAGACAAGTTTTCAGTTGATCAAAGAATGAAAAAGAGACATTATGTCATATAAATGATTATTCTGCAATTTCATAAAAATAATTTAATAAATTTTTCAAAAAAAGAACAAAATACAAATTTAATTATGATGGTGTAATTCTTTTCGTTTAATAATTTTTATAAAAAATTTATAGAGTATGTATATATCTATCACATTTTATATAAAATATAATTAAATGAATTTATTTATATAATACAATTGTTATGAATAATCATCAAAATTTATCATTTTGTAGACGATATAATGTCTCTAAAGGTGATGCAATATTGCCACAGCTATTTATAGTCGCATATGGGCAAACATTTCAAAATTGCTTACTTCAAGCACGCACGGTAGTCATTGTTTGCACAAATTGTTTCATAGTAACAGCTGCAAACTCGGTCATTTCTAGTTGCTTCGAAGCTAGTAATTTTATTATAATGTCTATCATCTTTTTTTTTTTTTTATTCGCAGCAGATATATATATATATATAGGAGAGAGAGAAAGAGAAAGAGAGATAAAAATAAGAAATATTTGTTTTTTATTTAAATGATAAAATCTTGTTTTAGGGACATTCCAGTTTTATAACTCATTTGGATTGGTCAATGGACGGACAATATTTACGTAGCAATAGCGGAGATTATGAGTTACTATATTGTAAGTAAAACACCAAACTTATCGCAAAAGTACTATTTTTATACTTTTACTAACATTTTTGTGTTCCATATTTTTGTATATTTTTAAATAGAATTATTTCATATAACTATCAATTGATATAACTTTTATATTCCACAAAAAGAAAGAAATAATTATTAAGACAATTGCGTTTGAAAATGATTAAGTTCACAAATTCAACGCGTAAAAGATAAGGTATAAAAATATTAGTATATTCCGCAAATTTGATCGAATGATGGCTTGAAATATAAATATATAATATTATATCAAAAGATATAATATTATCATACTATTGATAATACAAAATATGCAAAAACATATAAAATATCTAAAAAATAAAGCATTCATTCTAAAGTATTCTAATTGATAAGCGAAACAAATTTTTATTTTTATCCCATTTCTCTAGTGATGTTCGTAAAAATATAAAAATGCATAAAAGTGTAGCTCTAAAAATAATGGTCTAGCTATTACTTAAATATGTGCTGTTAGAGTTTTTAATTCCATTAACTACCTAGAATATAATTAATTTTAATTACATTTATTGATGGCTAATAACGAGCATATTTAATAGTCAATTATATTATATTGTATTACATTATATTATACTATACTATACTATATTATACTATACTATACTATACTATACTATACTATACTATACTATACTATACTATACTATACTATACTATACTATACTATACTATATTATACTATAGGGAATCCCGGAATTTGCCGTCAAATCCCACAACCATCAATGATGAAGGACATGGAGTGGGCAAGTCATAGCTGTATAATATCCTTCGAAACAATTGGAATATGGCCGGAAGGTGCCGAAGGTACAGACGTAAATAATTGTACTCGTAGCAGTGATTCGAAATTGCTCGCAACTGGAGATGATTTCGGAAAAGTCAAATTGTTTTCTTATCCTGCTTGTCAACCAAAGGTAACTTTTAATACAATAATATTTAAGTCATTAAATTAAATTAAAATTTAAGTTAAGTGCATTTGCCCTGGATAATTTGAAATATAGACTACATGTACTGTTTGTTGCAAGTCGTATTTTCTTCACCAAAATAAAAACTCTTATTATTAATCTTAATGCAACTGATTATATTAGGGGTACTGAAAAGTAATGTCATTTTCTTCACCAACATGAAAATTTCTGATTGTTACAAATAAATAGCAAATTATTATATACTTTCCACTGTTTGTTATGATTGTTCTCCAGCTACTAACTAGATTTTCAAGGCCCTTTTTTTATAAAAATTTTCTGATTTACTGACAAAATATTCTGTGAGTACTGATTTTACAGCAGTAACCATTGTTGAAGAATTTTCTCCTTAGAAAGTGCTTCATGGATCGGAAAAAGTGATAGTCTAATGATGCCAAATCAGGTGGATTGTCGGTTTAGAAATGAATCTTTCTTAATACCATTAAGCAGAAAATTAAAAAATTACAGTGACATTCTTTATGTTTTATATTCTTCTTGCAAATCATATGATTGTCAATACTTCTTATTTATACACATTTCAATGAAGCTGTTTCTATATGTTGGATTCTCCAAATCTCCAAATCTATGTGTTCACTGAATCGTGAACTTATCATTATCAGTGACTGCTGGCTTCTTAGAATGAAAAACGTCTGAAAATAGGGAAGTTAAAATCACCAGACTAGAATCTGAAAAATCAAATAATCGTTGGTATAATTACGGACATTTAAAGAATTTGAATATACATTGCAAATTATATTGGCAGTATTACTCGGTACTATCCCGTCTAAATGCGTCTAATATATGTTCTTCCATAAAGTTTTTCTCTTCGTTAGCCATGTTTACTACATTATTATTGAATAACAAATTATACACACCTTAAAATTCCACAGTGAAATTTGAAAGCAATATCTCAGGTGAATTTATAAATATTTTGAAAAGAAATTGAACTTAATTAAAAAACATCATATTATATAATGACATTACTTTCCGATGCTTCTAATATACAGGATAGTCCATTTAAGTGAGGTCACCTAAATATCTTTTCGAATTGTGATGATGCAAAAAATATTTTTTTCAGTTTTTTGTTCAAGGTTATTGATATTTTTTTTTTATACTACGTATTTTTTTATTGTATCGTGTAGCTGGTAAAAATATACATTCAAATATGTACAAAACATGACCTTGAAAATGTAAATTTTACATATAACTTTATCTCTATCGTGATTACAGATCTTGGTCTAGATGCGACAATCGAATAATAAGTATAAATAAACGTATTTACTATTTATTACATCGTCGATGATAATCTCTTCTAGCAATTTGAAATCCCGATCAGTGTATCGAAATTTCTCAGCAATTCGTAATGGAATATTCAATGCAAGAAAAGATCGATATGATATTCATTAATGATAAAAGTGATTAGTGTTTGAGACAAGTAGTTTGAATGTAAAAATACATTTTCTAATTATAATTTTCCATCACGAAGTACATACGCAAAGGTGACCAAAAATTTTCTTCAAACTAGCAGTGTCGTAAAACACGATATTATAGTAATGACACAAAATATATTTTATTGTACACTGAGTGGAAAAAACAAACGCGTATCGTCATATCTAATGGATAACGTTTACGCTTTTATGAAATAACGCCCCATAGACAATAAGTGTAAATCAAAACTCTAAAGAAGAAAAAATAGTAAATATTTGATAAACAAAAATAAATTTGCTTGTTTCAGTCGTTATGTCACACGTACGGTGGCCATTCAAGTCATGTTACGAACGTATCGTTTCTTCAAGACGATACGCGATTAATTTCTACTGGTGGAAGTGACACGAGTGTTCTTCAATGGATTGTAAATTACTAACTCTACTTACTATTAATTGGGATGGACAAGGAACAGAGAGTAAAAATAAAGGAAACGTTAATTGTCCGAGGAAATGATAGGAAGTGCGCAACAACTATTGTAGTTACAAGATGAAGAAAAGAAAGAAACGAACAACACTGTGATTCAGTGTAGAAACGAGAAGTTTTAATTCTAAATGATAGAGAGACGAGCAAGAAAATATTGAATTCAATTAAGGGGATATTAGTCAATTTTATTGTACTATTTAAGTGTCCTTTACAAATTAATGACTGAGAGCCATAACGCTAATTTCTATGGATGATTTTGATTCATAATTGTGCGCTATGAAAACAAAACAACATGAAAACTTTAGTGAGAGCTTATCAGTTAATGTGGCGAACAATATTGACTGTATTTCACCAATTAGTAATAATGTAACAAAGTGTCTTTTTCACCTATAACTATTTTTTGAATGTCGGAATTCTGACTTTATAAATCTACAAATTGTATGTGAGTGTTCTTCGTCTAGTAATCACTGACGAAACGCACCGTGCTCTTTTCCATGTAAACCAGTTTAGTAAATTGCACAGTTCGTTGATAAATATATGTACTTTCGTATAGTTAGCACCGATAAAATTAAATTGAATGATTTTCAACTGATCGAAAACATAATTATTCCAATTGCTAGTGTCTATAAAAAGTTAGGATTATCATTATTTTCTAGCCTGTGCAACTATATAAGTTTTGTTTTTTAATTATTACTTTTTACGATACCAGTTACTCAAAAATATATTTCCTTTCACGAATAGATTGTAATCAATTTTAATTACAAACTTATTTTGTACTGATAGAAACTCTCGAAGTAATTTCAAGGTATAAAAGCCAAAATAACTTGGACAAAAGAAGTATAAGTATTTATATTTGATTTGGTATTCTTTTCCTCAGATATTTATGTAATGTAGATTTTTTTTATTTAGGTAATATTTCTGAAAATATGAATAAATATTTCAGATTTCAAAGAAGATTAAATTCCATTTTGATCTTGAGTTTGATGTAATTAATTTTTTGCCACATATTATAGTTACAAATATAAATTTATTTTCATTAAAGCGAACAGATATATATTTTTTTATATTATGTTATATGTACATATTTTAAACATTTGTATGAATTTGAAATGTCATTAGTTTTAAATTTATAGCTTGATTTTTTTTCATATTAGCTACCTCTATCTATTTCCCTAATTAAAAGAAATTCAAAATATACAGTTTATCATTCTTTATTCATTTTCTTCAATATTTCCTGAGTTTTACTTCGAATTCATTTAATGAAAAATATATTTTGGTGTATTATTTTTTTATTCTATTATTGAATATTGGTCGTGATGGAGTTATTACATTATTCGATTTAATATTCGTGAATAATTCTGCAATCAACGTCATTAATAGAACCACTTGTACACCTTACACAATTTTACCTATGCGAATACGTTGCTAATGGGATCTTTATGTAATCAAGCATGCCACAAAAATTTTATGAATGAATTGTTCTTCGGTTACTGTTTTGTTTTCTTATGTGCAGTTTATAAATATTTTCAAGCAAAAAAAGTCAGCATAATCTTGAGTTGTGCATGTGCGTATGTATTATGAAAAATATTTCAAATGAAATGATTAAATAAAACTAATATTGAGGGTGATAAGTTTTGTTATAAATGTTATAATATTATATATTACAAAGAACTAAAATAACCACTTACTACTTTTATGTTTCCATTCGATAAATATGAAATAATTTCATTCTGTTGATATTTTATTCTTTTAAAATTTCAGTCTTTTTTCTCGCATGAATAATGATTAAAACGTATGTTTAAATCAAATTATTATGTATATGATATAGTTTTCAATTAATAAATATAATTAAATTGTATAATATTGTTTCAATCTACCGAAATAAAAAAATTTTTTTATATATTTTATACATCGAGCAATATGCAAATTTTATTGTTACGAGATTGATAATTATAGTTTTAATGAACAAGCATTTCTTTTGAAAAATGTGCATCGTGTGCATCATGACTCAAATCTTTTTCCTTCTCAAAAAAAAAAAAAAGTATTTCCGCGTTTAATAATAAATTTAATAGTTGATAATTAATATACTATAATTAATTCTGTACGTACTTTCAATATATCGATTTTAATATACAAGTAATAATCAATAAATTACACAAATAGAAATATTTGTTAGAAATTTCATTCGTATAAAATATAATCAAAGATAAATGTTACGTAAAGATCATCGAAATAATAAAGTAGAGTATTTTAATAAAACATTAATTTTTAAATTCGTTGTAACTAAAACCATAATACAAATTAAAATTAACTCGTCGAAATTGGACGAAGAATATAATTTCTATAATCAACTACGTAATCATCAAACAATCAAATTTCGTATAATTATATTATGAATTTTTATGCGTCTATAGGAAATTTAAAATATAAAATTTCACAAACTGCAGATAATAAGAAAAATTGTATAGGATGTCCTATTTAAATTAATCTACTCCGAACTATTAACGATACAAAAAAATATTTGAAATATTTGAAAGTTGATTTTAGATGGCACGTGAAAGATATATATATATATCTTTATGTAATCAAGCATGCCACAAAATTTTATGAATGAATTGTTCTTCAGTTATTGTTTTGTTTTCTCATGTGCAAAAAAAGTCAGCATATATTTTATATTATTTTAATTTATTGATACTACTCGACATTCTCTGTAAAAAAAAAATATTAATCCATGTTTAAAAACTAGTTTAGTAGAGATATTTTAACTTTAATTTTTAAAATCTATTGCATGAAAGATAAGGACAAAATAAATATTCAAAATGTAATGGTTGCACGTAGTAATTATTGATTTGTATTTTATTATCTATTTGTATTTTCAAGAATATGAATTTGCATAAAAGTCAACAGTCTACAAATAGATAACGTAACAAAATACTTGTATTGAAATTTAAAATTTGGCTGGTTAGTGTTCTTTCAATTTGCGCTTGATCCATTTTTTTAATCACATTTTCGAAGATTAATACCTGTGCGGACGTCAGAAACTAACAACTGTGTCGCCTTAGTTTCGAAAGTTTTTACGATTTAAAATTATTACGCAGAATGAGTCTTGATTTAAACCTATCTACATTCGTTATACTTGGAAAACCTGCTCATGAAATATTTTGCAATCAACTTATATCAAACTAGATGGCTCATACTCGTTTATGATTAGAACTACAATAATCGATAGATTGATTGTTCAATTATAATTAAATTCTATCTTCGAACATAATTATTCTTCTACCAATAATTTGATGTTAAACTTTATTCCAATAAAACTTTGTTCAGCGATCGAATCTATCAATTTTTATAAATGAAGATTATTTGTTAAATTTATACTTTTAATTTTTAAATCACTTATTTTTATTTATTTTCTGTTTCAAGTTAACTTTGTGCATTTTTAACTTTAACTTTTTAACTTTGTATTAATTCTGTTTTAATAGTTATCTTGCATTTGATTATTAAAAATTTTGGAAGCTTATATATTTTTTTAATAGATATTACAAAATAAAATATGAACGTTAAAAATAAATTTTTGTATTTTTTTTAAATTTTAAGATTAGAATTTAAATGTTAGAAGCAGGAAAATTGAAAAAGAAAAGTCATGATTTTTATATAATTATTTTATTTTAGTATTTCTTATATTTATACAAGTATTTGTATATAAATAGAATTTCACTTCAAACAATTCAAGGCTTTAACTTCAATCTTATACATCCGTAATATTTTGTAAAAAATTTGCTTTTCACAATTAAAATTTTTTTTACGATTCAGAATGTATGTTTCACTATAACTGAGATAGTACTTCTAAGAAAATAAAAGCTTCTAAATTGTATAAAAAAATATAGAATAAAACTTTCAGTAGTTACTTTATTTTATAACAATTTTTTTTGGAACAGAAAAGTGCCTTCATTGAAAATTTTTATAGTTTTTCGATCCTGAATTTTCTCTATTCGAATATAACACTAATCGCCTACATTATCACCTATTATTTATTTAAGGAATTTTTAGTGGAAACAATATATTTATATTCTACGAATAAAAATACAAAGAGAAATCATATAAATAAAGATTCAAAAATGTTTTATAAATAAATGATGACAAAAATACGAAATGGACTAGTTTTCGTTCGATATAGTTTTCACAATGCCGCTCTATAAGATACTGATATGTACTTGTTAAAAATTAAATTTATTATATTGCGAATTTCCAGCTAACTTCCTTTCATTTCAGTAAATTTAAATACAAATTTGTGGTGTGATGTCTGGTAATATTGAAGGTCAAGGACTTCCTAGTTATTGCTGATACCGATAACAATTATATTATTTTGCTACAACGATGTTAAATAGTAAACATATCTTATGTAAACAGTTAGATAAATACCAGTAATCTATTTTCATGCTGTATTGAACGAAAACCAGTCAATTGTTAATTGTTAGATATTTCGTACTTTTGCCACTTTTTAAAGAAAAGTTTCTTTCAAGTCTCCATTTGTATAACATTTTTCTTTTATTTTTATAGAATATACTAGAATTTTTGTAGACTATGCCATCATCGATTACGGAAAAAAGCAAGAACACACTCTATATTAAGTTTTCTTCGAAGCAATCATACGATAAAAAATGATCGATAAGTGGTAAAACAGAATTCACTATACTTTCCCACGTTTGAGCTTCTTTCATAACATTTATAATTGTTAACACGTTGGTACTCTATAATTAAGCGATTATTTTCATTCGCTTCTTCAGGATTGCGGAACGTACAGAGCAAATGAAAAGTTGTCTTAATTGCAGAGTGTCTGATGTTACATGTCATTCACGATTTGTGATTAAACGTTGGAAAAAAATTTCTTTATGTTTAGAAATTTGCATAAGATGTGAAAAATTATTGTGTCCATGAAAGTGAAGACGCTGATGTCACGATCGGAATCGGCATATGCAAAAGTATGGACGATCTCGTTAGCATGCGAGTCAATTAATGTGTGATGATAGAGTATGCATCGCGTAATTGAATGCTATGTAATAGATTATTTATTACTCATTATATTAATTCTAATCTCATCTGTATTATCCTCGCAAAATATCAACCGAGAGCGATGCATCTGTTGTGATTTTTCAATAATCGATTTATCAAAGAAATTAGGTTTTTCTAATATTATAAATATATTTTGATCAATTATATAAGAATTATACAATTATACAGGATGTTCCAGTATTAAAGATACAACTGAGGAAAAGGTGTTTTTACATAAAAAAATAAATCGAAAATAAAGAATAAAATTTTTTTAATTTAAAGTGACGTTTTCGAAAAAATCAAGTTTGAAAATTTATCAAATGCACTTGAATTTAACTAATTATAGACTAGGCAGAAGTAACCAATTGACACGAGGTTATTCTGTTTGTGAGAAAATAAGTGAAAAATATAGAATAAAATTTTCCATCCACTGACTTTTTCAAGCAAATGAAGTTTGAATATATCTAGATAAAAATTGACTTAGTAAGCGTGTACTTATTTATTCAAATTATATTTTATTTTATTGTACTTTGTATTGTATTTTCTCAAGAACGAAGCGTCTTACGAAAAATATTCCAAATATTTTATTCCAAATATTTTATTCCACATTCAGCATACATATAAGATATGCAATATAAGAATATATTTTTCGTGATAATTTTTGTCACGTTTATTACTTTTTAATTATTTTATTAGAATTTATTTTTTGCTAAAAGCAATGAAATATTTATAAAATTATTAATTCAATAATAATGTTATTTAT